ACGCTCTTCGTGCAGGGGGATGAATCGTTTCTCATGGAATCATTATCAATTCACCTACTTTCCTATCATCATAATCATCGGCGATTCGCGGCGCTGCTAAAGTACCCCGATTAACGGGGAGCTGCTCGATTGCGACTGATTTGCGCGATAGATCGCGAATAAAAGATTCGAAATCTGTTATAATTATGATGAATTTAATTGGCAAATGTACTGCAGAATACGTATTTATATGCTAATTGTTACGAAAAAGAGATGCAATGGATCCTACATCGCATCAAATTTATATAATATTATCTTTAAAATATAATCTTTTTATAGATGATATATTAATCTTCGCGATTATACAGGATTATTAACATCAATTTTTAATTATCCAGGTATGTTCTATCTCAAACACTGAATTGTGCAAATTAGTTTCCTACTATAATGCAAAGTTCGATTATATTCAATTATCTCTCTTTTCTTCTAAAGATAATAACTAACATATAATCAATTGAAAAAAATGTAACGTGTAAAAGTAATCAATGACACATGCAATTAAAACCGTTTGTAAACCGATTTGGTATCCAAGGTTTGATCAAAGTTTGTGGTTATATGCGAGACAAGAAGACATATTGATTACATTAATTATTTGCTACGAAACATTTCTATTCTGGATACTGTGATATCTTGTATGCACGTGTGTTTTAAAATGTCTTCTGTTTTATTTAGATATCAAGTAATGATTCGAAATAAATAGAAAGACATTTTAAGAAACAAAAGATATTATATCTATCTATATAAGAAGAGAACACGATTAACTTTATAATATATTTATATCTTCGGGACAAGCTTTTTTCAAACTTGAGACCGCACATGTCTTTCATTGCTAATAATAACTTTGTTGCAAGCGGGATGTAGACGAAGTTTTCTACACAAGAATATCATTGTAGTACAAAATTGTGAAAATGAGGCAACTGTTTGCAACAGCGACTTGTAAGTTTCGTTGAAGAACCATTATCAAGTTATATAACACAAGTTTTTTTTAATAAAAAGCGGGTGTGATAACCACAAATAGCCTCACATGTTTGCCGCGCAAACTTATATTCCTCGCAGTTGCGTCTTCTCCTTTGAATTATGCGGCGTATCGGCTGCTCGCTAATCCGTTGACACTTCATAGTTTGTCAAAGGCAAGTTTGTGCTACGGAACTTCTGTTACAGATGAACGGCAACCAACCAACTTCGTGAATACAGAGCGGAAGAACAGCGAGAGTGAACTAGCGATTAGATAAGTCTCTGAAACTATCATTAAAATAGATCAATAAAAATTTATCCTTGCCTAAATGCAACAATGTCCGATGAACGTTCGTGTGTACTCGTACTATTGATACATTTTAATGTAATTGTACATTATTACAAATAATAATTATTACATAATATTTGCGTTAAACGGAGAAATAACAATAGATGGACAATTTTATAATAATCTGTTAAAGTAATAAAATCAAAATGATAATATTTTACATGTTTAAACAATTGCCGTTGTATTATAATTTTTATTAACTATTGCTTATACTATTGGTATGCACAAAGCATGTATTTTCTAAACCCAAAAATTTCGTTGGATTGATTTGTCTATCGATCTAGCTAATAGACTACTTTAGAAAATGCGTTTCACGTATCCAGTGCAGTCGCAGCAATCGTACCTGACAGCAGTCACTGCACACAAAGCTTCTGTTAGCGTGTCCTTTCCTTCGCTTTGACGTAAATGTGCGACAGACCTTAGTCCCAAAATTAACCCCATTACACGAAGTAATGAGTGGAATATCGCGATGTCATGAACATCAAAAGACTAATTGAGATCAAATGCAAACCAAGACACTGCTGCCAAATTTGTGCCTTTGTTATCTAAGCAGAGTCGCTTGGAGTTTATCTATATAACGTTTAACGGAATTATATGTATACATATATATGATATTTAGGATTTTATAATCTTTCACGGATTTTTCCGAAATACGATTAATATCTAAAGAAAGATATAATTGAATAAAAAATATTCAAAAGGAGAAATAAATAATTTTGTAATTATCACATTAATATATAAATATATATATAAATATTTTACATCAAAAAATATACTAATAATAAATATCTTCACATATGTAATAAATGCATTTAATTGGTGCATATATCTTCTCGCGAAAAATTATTCTGTCTATCGAAACATTCATTATGGTCAAACTGAGTTGTCCTTGAATGGCAATGACTGTATGTGTGGCAACAATAATGTGTTAGTATGCGCATTAAGGTGAGGATGTGATTCGATCTATCTGGAATGAGGAACCACACACGACAAAACCAGATTCTACGTCGTTTGTGACGTCACTACACTGTATTCTGTACTTTCCATGCATCGAGGGTTAATTTTGGACTACAGTACTCAATCGCACGATCTTCATCAATGCTGAACGCTATTCATGAAACAGGTGTGCCCGTGGAGACAGGCTAGGCATGTATCATGCACTTTATTGAGCAAAACTGCACACGTGGTAAAGACAACCTTAATGCTATTAATGTCACAGAGCTTTTGCCGATAGAAAGGAGATATTTCTACACATAAAAATATTTCGGGAAAATAATTACACATAACAAAAAATCAGTATAAATAAAAAATTTACAAACAAAATTGCAGACAAAAATTAGATGCCTATAAAAATTCAGTTTGTGAAATGACTTAAGTTTCTTCGTTCTCGCTAATACATCGTTATCAGCATAGTTTATAAAGTCAAAAGTACTCAATTATCGACAAAAACTTACATTGAAACAGCATTAGATTCGATTCTCATACTGAGTACGCAGTTTTCTATGACGCGGAAGAGAAGGCGCCGCCGTGAATGCATACTTGAATAGAGGCAATATTAGAGTGAATTTTCGGTGAGATCCGTCGGTTTGGAGAGGACAGGTAAAAGCCTCCAGTTTTCAGAATGACATCGCGACGGAATGAATGAACCCGCCGGTGCGACGAAGAGGGCGGGTTTGCGACGCGTCATTGAAAAGAAGAAGGAGAATGGAAGAAAGAACGAACGGGAGTGCTCTCATCATCCTCCGCTAATATTTACCCGTACAGACACAAAGACCACCCTGGTCATCTAAAGAACGTTCTTCCTCCTGCCGCATTTCTGGACACTGATAAAGATACACGGAAGTCGTGCTTAATTCTGCTTACAACACCGGCAATATTCTTGACGTGACTTTCTCGAAAATCATCACTCGCTAAAATCAACATTGAAACTTAGCGTTCAATTAAACCGACCATATTATTTTTATAAGTAAAATGTGTAAATAACGCAGAAGAGTACATGACGAAATACGTTTTTTTAATTTAAATCTAAATGAGATTATTGTACACGAAAAAGAAGTTGTTATTGACCCTTTCTTTATTCATCTTTATATATAGGAGAAAGTAGGGTAAAACCGGATACTTTTTTAGATTTGTCTTCCTACAAAAGATCTGAGAGTAAAAAACATTTTGCCGACCGTTAGTAGTCTTTAGTGAACCTTAAACTATGAGAAAATAAGGCTAGTCGCTGAAAAAAAATTTTTGGTTACCAAGACTAACAAGATTTTGTGGAGAAGTCAAAGTACCCGGTTTTGTCCTACCGGTAGGGTAAAACCGGGTATCTATTTGAAAATATGCAAAACATCGTGTAATTACAAAATCTAGATTTATTTTAATCAAAATATATTATAAAGATGTATTCTATTGACAAAAATCACAAATAAAGATATCTTCTTGTTCGACATTGCTGCAGGACTTCCTTATTTAACTTTCTAACTTTAAGAGTCTTAAAAAGCTTTTTTTTAGTGGTTTATTTTTCTGAATGTTAGTTTTCGTTTCCAACTGCTTTTTTAGGGAGACAAAGTCAGGATAACAGTTCTTCCTCTTTTCATTACATGAGATGTGTAAGTACCCGGTTTTGCCCCCAACACAAGGAAAGTAACAAATAGGCGGTTGTATATTCCGGCATACAAAGTGCCGATCAAAACTAATATGATATACTCTCTAATATGTACAGAATACAATGCTGCACTTATCGAAACAGATGCTCTATATAGAAAAATTGCACGACGACTCGATTCTTGCCTTGATATTGATCTTTTTTGGGGCTAAAAACTTCAAACTTCTATTAAAAAAGAAATATCGTGTGCACAGGGGCACGATTTGTTTTAAAATAATAATGGCGCCAATCTACAACTAATAACATAAGTTAGCCATAGATAGCAACACTTATTACGAAAAAATATTATATATATATATATTTATATATGTTAAGTTAAATGCGCTAATACAATTCTAAGAAAATTTTTGAGACGTGCGACAAATATGTTATAATTTAATTTAGCAGCGATAACATATATATTTCTATAAATATCATGCTTTCCAAAGTAAATTAGATTTTACAAGAGTATATCCATCTCGATACAAATGCATCTTTTTCAAAGAAATCAAATATGATCATATACGGTATTGAAAGCTGTAGTTTTAGGTCAACTCGATTCTCTCTACTTTCTTGTAATATTTTTAGTAAACAACTTTTCGAGAACAAATAACACAAATAACATATAAAAAATCAATTCAGAGAAAATACATAATTTATCAACTGTTTTAGCGTTTAATTCAAAGTTTAGAAATAAAAATATGTAAACCTTTATAAAGAATTAAAACTGCAATACGTAAAAACAAGCAATATTAAATAATAATAAAATATTAATAATAGGATTTACAATTATGCATTATATTACAATATAATATATAGGAAAGAGGGAGATATCAAAATAAGATAGTCGAAATAAGCAAAATAAAATGTAAACAATTTTTTTATTTTTTTTATGTTATAAAAGAAATCTAATAGTTTTCCAATGACGTTCAAAATTGAAAATACCTTTTATAACAAACCGTACACTATACAAACAATTTGATTAGTACAATAAAAAAAGTCAAGCGCTCGAGGAACCATAATACGATATTGAGTAAACGTGCACTCAACAGTCCCGAACGGTAAATTTTCTTTTCCACACACACTCTACATTATAAATAAAATATTAATAACATTATCAAATCTGATTTAATTGTTTATTTATAAATTCTTTATTAATAAATTTGCAAGATTTCTTGAGTTGATTTTTATACGCCAAACGTCGCGAATGTAATTGATCAACTAAATTTGTTTTAATTGATATAAAACTTTAACGTAATAATCAAAATAGTCTGAGGCGAACATATTGTTTTCCACGATTTATCGATAAGAGAAACCATTGCATTTATCACAATCGACACATCACTATATTACGCAAATTTCATAAATGTTCTTCTCAAAACATGGCAAATGTTTTTGACAATGTTAATTCGCGTAACTAATAAATTAAAATATCGGGTCAGTAGACAATCTTAAGATATCAACCGATTTACACGCTTCACATACGCACATTATGTTTACATAATTGCATATGCACGTTGCGAATGCAGAACGCGAGCAACGGTACATCTAGAGAAGAGATAGGACGAAGCTTTCAAACAGCTTTATAATCGAATTACCATGCTTCCGTCATCGATGTTACCGGGACAAGCAAGCAGGCGGTATAGGCGGCAATTTGCAAAGGCCCCCGGAGCAAAACTCGCCTTCGTTGGCGTGACTAAATTAGGCCTCGGTCCCGGCTAAATGCTCGACTTTTTATTTCACCGCTTCCTCTTCGTCCTAGCACAGCGATCACCTCTCGACCGTCGTCTCTACCTACGATCTGCAAATCTTTTGATTCAATTTCGTCTCCAAAAAAACTCTAGAGAAAGCTTGGCAAGCAACCGCCTGAATCGAAAGTTAATGTTGATTAATTGATCATTTTATGAGATATTTTGAATTCGGCGAAAATTTCACGAGGCTGATCGGAGCACTTAAAATGCTGAATGAAATTTGTGCAACTAAAAAGGCATTTTAAGAAAACTCTATACATATTTTCTACAGCACACATACGATCAAAATTTTAAAAATTTTGTTCACCAACAAACTTATTGTTAATTGCAGCTACCTGTTGTGTGCATAAAAATCTTGATTCGCGGAATAGATGCTTAACATTGAAGTAGTAATTTTTATAAAATGGGTTTTATAAAATTAATCTAGATATGGATTTAACTGCAACAATACATTTTTTCTGGACCGGATTATTTTTAATAAACAATTTTGTGTAAGCTTAAGCTACGATAGGTAGGTAAGTAAAGTTTCAAAGCTATAAGTAAAGTTTCGAGAAACAAGCACTTTTAATATTATAATTTTAGCTTGCTTTATTAATATATTGGAAAAACAAATAATCTCTTTTTGTTAAATTACTAAAAAGAAAAATAATGATTAATATTTATGAGAAATTAGTTTGCCGTGCATTATATAAATCATAATAAATGGCTGGAATGTATGGCAACTTCCAGAAAAAGCTTTAGAGGAATTTTGTTGATTTTTACAGAATCAGATATCGATTCTGTACGAGACGAAAGTGCGCTGTGAATTTTAAGAAAATTTTTAATTTTATAGCATCACAATAACGTTTTTTGGCATTAATTTTCTCATTGATGCTCAGATTAATCCTCGAGGCGATCAATTTGAGAACACTAACATTGCTCTTGAGTTCCGAAAAAAGAATTATGAAAAAAATCATGGTAGAATTGCCGGAATAAATCGAAAAACTTGATTTTTTGTTTCTCATTTTTCATAGCAGTTACTGATTTGTTCATATTGTATATTATTGCATATTAATTGCTGCTACCATTTATTACTTTTCACACAGACATTATTGAATATTATTACATAAGAATACACACACACGCACGCACGCACGCACACACATATTGATAAAATGCAAATTCACAGATCTCATTTCGAGTGATCGGCAGATTTTTAAACAAATGAATTGTTACCATGTATCCATGTAACCAGGTGCAATTGTTACTATTGCGTCGTAGCGCAATTTTGAATTAAAAGTTGAAAACGATCCAGCAAACGTAATTTGATTTACATGATACATATTTGCATTTCTCTGATGCGTGAATAACATGCGCGTATATCGTATGGAACAGAGGCAAAAGCAAGTTACAGAGGAAATATTATTATTTATTTTTCGATTTTAAAGAAACTCAATCTATTGTTAATCTAATTATTTGTGCGAAAATAGTTGTTTCATGTACCATAAAATGAAAATGTGAAATGCAATATTATGCAATGTAAAACCGCAATTGTAAAGATTTAATCCACAGTAATATTAAGTAAAAAACCAAAGTATAGAGATATTTAAGTAATAGCTATTATTGAATTTGCAATATACATAATTAACGATTCGCGGAATGCTTGCCTCTTTAAACTGATGGCATTCTGTCGATATTTATACGCAATTTTACTTCATGAGACATTTGATAAAAACGGTGAAATTTATTATCAATTGATAATTCAATTTATCAGTAAGATTAGCGAACATTATTTTGAAATTGAGTTAATTCTAAATTTTTAAAGTATGTTTATCGATTTTACAAGTTTCTTTTGTGCAACAAACATTATACATATATATATATATAATTACATTGCTCAGATTCTAATACATAATTACATTTAAAATAAATTTTTAAACATTGCAGAACACACAATATTTTTTACTCTACTAAATTAAAACAGTGGCGTATATATGCACGTACTACAAGATGACGGGGTGCATTTATGCATTATCGATGCAATTTTAAAGTCTCTCTTAACTATCGAGAGACACGACAGGAGAAAATCATGCTAACACATACGCAGCCCGTCATTTTATCCATACCAAGGCTAGGATAAACCAAACAAACTTTCCTAGGGATTGCTTCTCAACAGGGCAACGTTTCAGGATTGTCACGAGGTATCTAACCGATAGGTGCTGAAACTTTAAGCTTGCCATCGAGTATAATGGCGTTTGAGCTTCTTCATTATGCAGGCCAATCATGACTGTAACTTCCTTCAAGTCGTTCGTTGTGTCAGCCTTTCTATTATACATATAGCTTCCCATTCATGCGTTTCCCTATAATATACGCCTATTATTCATGATTAAATGTTTTATTTTGTATTTATTAATTAAAAAATTGGTACACCCTACAATAATTTTTTTAACACTTCTGGAAATTAAAATATTAAAAAATACACAGTAAAATAACAAATTTTTACTAATTAATGTATAATATAATAAAACAACAATTTGCATTATCTTTCACCAAGATAACGCTAGATTTCACATTTTTTGACAGACATAGCGAAATTTGACCGGGATGTTTTCCATTCGTTGTATTCATTAGACTTAATATCATTTAATTATCATTTATTACAGTCTCTACAGAATTTTTTTGATGGTAAAAATTTTAATACCCTAAGAAGATTTTCAAAACACACTTGGAACAAATTTTCACTAAAAAATAAATAAATTTTGTGGAAAAACGAGATTTTTTAAGCTGCCCGAATGATGGTCAAAGATCGTTGAAACAAACGGTACATACATTATCGAGAGAATAAAGATGTATCTAAATATATATAAATTTAAGTAAAATTAAATAAAATTTTTTGCAAAAATTGTATCGCAAACTTTTAAACAATTTATAATTTATTATATTTTTTTTCTAGATACAAAATTTCGTAAATTAGTTTTAAGATACCAAATAAAAATTTTTTTAATAGTAATAATTATTACACGTTTGCATATATCCAGCCACATAATCTCAAATTTATATTTAGGCATTATATTGCTTTAAAACAGTTTTTAATATAAGAGAGATTTTTACATTTGTATTGTTCATTTGATATGAAAAACGCAATATTAATTTTTATCTCCGCAATCATTGATTTTATCTACAGAATTAGTGTCCGTATTTTTCTTTATATATTATTTCTGTAGATAAGCTAGGATTTAACGTAGGACCATACAAGCTTGGTATATCGCTTAGGCTTCCAATATCAAGGTGTATAGAACGTAAGTAAACCTTAACGCAGCCTAAAGGCAAGACATGTAGCCTACGGCAATTACATGCAAATCTCAGCAAGTTGTGCCTAAAACCTCAACACTGTCACCAACTAACAGCCACCATCTCGACCGAACAAGGAATGTTGCAAGTGCTATTCGCCGATCTAAATGGACAATGCAACAAATCGAATGTAGAGAAAAAATGGATTTGAGACAATAACAAAAAAAGATATTGATTAGATCTTTTAGTCTTTTAATCGCGAGTATTTTGCTTAACAACAAACAGGAATTTATCATTTTTTACTTGTTAATCTGAATCATATCTTAGACATTTTGCGTACAGCTTATATGCAAATATATATAGAGATAACTATTTAATATAGATAAACGTGTTCTCTTATGAATCAATAGAAAGTTGATAGTACAAAGACAGTCAATTAATTAATTATCAAAGTCAATACTATTCAATATCGCTGCAAATTATTAAAAAAAAAATTACAGCAAGTATGTGTGATTTTCTGCGCAGATATAAGTACAATATATCCTATCATATTCTCGATGAAACTTGTTATCGCCATTGCCCTGATGGACAAATATTATCTCGTTAAATGCTCGCGAGGTCGATGCCGATGTACCTTTATCCGTAATCGTTATTGGCAAATAATATAATAACTACGCAGTAAACGCGACTAGCATATAGTCTTCATCGAGCGATACAGTATAAACATTGTTGAGCGTTGTATAATTAAATTTTCCTTGAAATTTTTTGTGAAATTTGATTCCGATTACAATAAGTGATCAAAAATATCATCTCATGTTAATATTCGTTAAGAGTAAAACTCGTATTTTAAATTCGCGTGTGCACATGTGACTATGAATGTATGTATGTGCGTGTCGGTTTTATGTATATATAACGGTTATCTCATTATCTTACACACGTATTAATAACGCAAGGTGAAAGATAGTCGAATAGACACCACCGCTCTTATTCATTTGAAAAGCAACTTTTAGAATTGGACTGAATATATCTAAGTTAAGAAATAGTCATGATTTCTTATCGCTTTCTGTTTGCTGTGTTTTTATTGATTATTCTCATCGCTTTAAATCTGGTACTCGCATATGATAATGTCAATATAGACGGAAACAAAAATTTGAACGAGATTTCCGCACGATATCGACTACCCAAGGAAATCATTCCCGTATTATATGATTTATCGATTTACACTAATCCCAGTAAAGCGGACTACGATGGTCACGTACGAATCACCTTGCAAGTACTGGAAAAAACAGACTTTATCGTTCTGCACACAGATACATTAATCGTACAATCAAATGCATTTTTATCAGATAAATCAGGTCGATTGATTCCAATTTTGCATTACGTTTACGATCAAGAAACGCAGATGCTTACGATTAAACTCGAATGCACACTGAAACCTGCAAAATACACGATAGAATTATCCTTTAAAGGATACATCGCAAATGATGTTTTCGGCTTTTACGCAAGTCTATACGAAATTGAAGGAAAACTTAGGTAATATTTAAATTCTAAAAACTCTCTTATATATAATCTTATATATATATATATATATATATATATATATATATATATATATATATATATATATATATATATATATATATATATATATATATATATATATATATATATATATATATATATATATATATATATATATATATATATATATATATATATATATATATATATATATATATATATATATATATATATATATATATATATATATATATATATATATATATATATATGTGTGTGTATATTTAAGAGAATCGTTATAAGTACGGTAATTGAAGCAACATCTACGCAATTAAAAATCTATAAAAATATTGAATATCAAACATAAATCACATTAACATTCAATTAATTATATACATATATTTATGTAATTATTAATACAATACATATCCTGTGTGTTATACAAGTTAATTACAATGCGAGCCTTCAGGAATGTTTATAATTTATCATACTTGATTCCGCATACATTTTTCCTATTTTATTGTTATTGTATATTTATTTATTATATTTTTTTATATTTTATATATTATATTTTGTATATCTTATATATACTTTATATTTTATATACTTTATATTATATATATTTACTACCAATGAAAAGAACGATTATATTTCCAGAGATATCTATGTTTACAGTGATAAAAACAAATTCTATAACAATTATTGCACATTTAATTCGAAACATATTGTTGAATATATATTCTTTAGACGAATTGGCGTAACTCAGTTTTCGCCCACGTATGCACGTCGTGCATTTCCATGTATGGACGAGCCACATTTAAAAGCGGAATTCCAAGTCCGAATTGGTCATCATAAATATCAAAATGCGACGAGTAATACTCCAGTGGAATCTATACAAATAAAGTTAGTGATGAAGTTATGATTTTTCTAATTTATATTAAATATTAAAAGAGAAATATATACACATATAAAAGCATACACACAAAGATACAGTTTCATCTCGTTGATACTTACAGAAATGATACTTACTATGTGACCACATTTCGCCGCACGCCGCGAATTTCCACATACTTGGTAGGATGGACAGTGCACAACTTTGTTCTGGAGCAATCAAGAATTTCGGAGAATTTCAAGATGTGGACGAGAGACTCCATGAAGTTTCGCGGATCGATGGCCTTGAATCGCGGCCAGACAGTCTTCTCGGCACTGCAGACGTGGTTATCGGTGAAGAGCCCGCTCGAGAAGGTCGATCAATTTGCAATACCGGATTTCAATTTTAACGCGATGGAGAATTGGGGCCTTGTCACTTACCGGGAATCCATAGTATTGCACGAAAACGGAATCACGCCGACAAGAATAGTGTTGAATGGATTAACAACGATGGCTCACGAGTACGCTCACACCTGGTTCGGAAATTTGGTGACACCCAAATTCTGGGATGTCGTCTGGCTGAAAGAGGGTTTTGCTACGTATTTCCAATACTTTGGTGTATCCATAGCGGAACCGGATCTGAGAATTATGAATATGTTTACGGTAGATTGTCTTCAACCGGCGCTACTCGCTGATTCCGATGATCATAGGCGTACACTGAACGGTCGAGAGGTCGGAAACCGTAGCAGCATTATGGCTACTTTGGATTTTGTTTCTTATAAAAAAGGCTTGTATAAACTACATAATTGAACATTTCTTTATTTCTGTAAATTCTGAGATCCTGAGTTTACATTAAAAATATTTCCACTTGTAAAATATATTGGAATAATTTTTATATGAAACATTTATGAAACAGAAAACTGTAGAATACGACTAACCATAAATAAGAACAATTATATTCCCAGTGATATGAGTTGAAACAGAGAACTGTATTTTGAAAACATTCTGTATATTCAATCACTTGATTCTAGTTACAAGTGCTGCGTCATTTGTTTCTTACGCAACCTGTTGATCATATCGCTGTACATGTAACAAATTCGCAAAAACAGATAAAGATATCTGTTAATCATGTGATAATTCTTTCTCACCATTGGTCACATATTTAAATCATATATGCAGAAAATTGATTATTGGCAAAATTAATCTCTAATACATATCTTTAATATCGCACGTCATTCAATTCTCATTCACATACGTTATCAATTTCGTATAAATCGTCATTTTGATTATCTTTCTACATCTCGTAATTTTAGTAAAAATAGCGATGACGCGCGAAATCGCAGAAAAATATATTTTAAATTAGTTATACTAAAAAATCAAATTAACATGTGCAAAATTGTTTTTTCTCTTTTTCTATAATTAAATAATGAAATGTGAAAGACTCATTTTTTAAAGTTTGCATATTTTTTTTATATTTTATTGTACATTTCTTTTTATTAGAAAAATATTTAATAATATATAACATTTATTTTGCGTAGATATTAATTAGTATAAAATATAAATATAAATATTACGTTATCTTATTTTCAGGTGGATCCGTAATTCGTATGACCAATTATATCATCGGAAATATAGCATTTCAGTTAGGTTTACAGAGTTATTTGCGCGAGATGTAAGTCTACATGCGTGGAATGTTTCCAAATTCCACCTATAATTTTTCATTTAATACAAAATCATAAATGTATATTATTATTGCCAAAATCTAATTTGTTGAAAATGATAATTTTCATTTTTTTTCTTTTGTCGGTCCGTTAATACTACTCTACAAAGGTATTCATTTACTCTATTAGGTCATATCAAGCAACACTTCCATCCGATTTGTATCGACACTTACAGACTGCATCAGACAAATCAGGACAACTGTCTAAGCATTTGCTTATAAAAGATATCATAGAATCCTGGGCAAATCAGCCAGGGTATCCCCTAGTAACCATTACGCGGAACTACACCACGAAAGCTCTTTTCGCCTCGCAAGAACGATTTTATCTGAGTCGCCATATAACGCAAACAGACAAATCTGGTTGGTGGATACCGTTAACTTTTGTAATTGAAGAATCGAATTCCACATTTGATCGAATCAATATAGTAGCATGGTTGAAGCCACAGGTCAAGAGCGCGATAATTGGTTCTTTCGAGCCAAATTCATGGGTGATTTTCAACGTTCAGCAAATTGGGTATTATAGAGTCAATTATGATGAGAAAAACTGGAAGATGCTTATCGATTATCTGAGATCAAAAAATTTTAAAAAAATACACGTGGCAAATAGAGCTGCACTTCTAGATGACGCCTTTAATTTAGCTAGAGCCGGTTATGTGAATTATTCCATTCCATTTGATATTGCGACGTATCTTATTCATGAAACCGAATACGAACCGTGGGTTGCTGCAATAAATAACTTTAATTTTCTCAATCATATTCTCGCTAGCTCGCCGCGAGTACAACAATTTTTTCAAGTAAGCGATTATTTTTCTAAACAATGAATCAACAATAAATTTTAATTTAATTTAATAATTTGTTATAATTTGTAGGCCTATGCAAATCACATACTTAAATCTATATACCATTTACTAAGCTTTGTCGAAAATCCCGCAGACAGTTCGACAATAAAAATACATCGCGAATTAATCTTATCGGCTGCGTGCTTGGTCAACAACATCCACTGCCTAAAAAAATTAAAAACTTTATTTGATTCTTGGATTTCTATGTCGGAGAAAAGGTACGGCCAATTATACTATGAGAGTTTCAAAATATATGTGTGTATGTGTGTTTACATTGTTTACAGTAACACAGTTTTTTTTTTTATAACAAGTAGTAGATTTAAATATTCCAATACTTGAGCACACATAGAAATAGTGCAATCCTTTTAAACTGTTATATCTTATTTTTTCTACTTTACAGTAGATATTCTTGTAAAGTACGCTGCTTCTTAAGAGAAAATAATTAATTAATTAACACAATTTTTTATAATAATATATTCGTCTTATACAACACAGAATATCAGTTCTTTTAAATTGTTATATCTTATCTTTTCGGCATTATAATAGGCATTCTCGTACACTTTCGTTCTCTGAAAAAGATAATCGATTAATTAACACATCTCTTTATAATGATATATTTCATACATATACGCAGAGTATCAGCAAATCTCAAGAGTTTCGTATATTGTACGGGCATTCGCGCAGGTGATGATAATGATTGGCATACAGTTTGGAATCGATTCCTCCGCACTGATCTACATACAGAACAAGAGCTCTTGCTAAATGCACTCGGATGTACTAAAAATCCACAATTAATCGAGAAGTTGGTTTTAAGAATCGGATTACATAAATAAGCGTATTGAACATCAGATTTTAAATTTGCCAATTTCCAGATATCTTAATATGTCCATAACTCATGAATCCAATATCCGCAAACAATATAGGATGATGATAATTAATGCAGTTTTGAATGGCAATCCTGAAAATGTGAATTATGTTATCGATTTTATCCACAATAATTTGCATGCAGTTCTAAAATTGTACGTAATATTTGTTTTTACTTTCTTTATTTT